CTGCATCATGATCTGTGAACCCTCATAACAACCCTGAAGCACGGATTACTGCTCCCCCCAACCCCTCACCTTTTTGTACCAGGGATTAAACCCTGGGTGCTTAACCACTGAGCCACATCCCCAGCCCTTCTTATTTTTTATTTAGAGACAGGGTCTTGCTAAGTTGCTTAGGGCCTTGCTAAGTTGCTGAAACTGGCTTTGAACTCATGATCCTCCTGCCTCAGACCCCCAAGCTGCTGGGATTACAAGCGCATGCCACTGTGCCTAGTGGTTGCCCCCTTTTGATGGATGAGGAAACTGACCTTTGGAAGGTTCTGGCTGCATTACACAGATAGATGGTGACCCTTGCAGCCACCTTATCGTTTTGACCTTGTCACACCACTAGCTACAGCCACTTCTTCAATGTTCTCCATTTTTGCTGGCTCACTTAGGGGGGCTTGGCTGAGCAGCTACAAGCCCAGGAGGTCACCTCTTCTCACTGAGAGTCCTCCCTTGACTAGAAGTCACTTCAATGACTAGACATTTCTTTCTTCCCCTGCTCATGGGCTGTCCCCAGCCCTCTCATCCCTTGTAACATTACTCACCCTCATGAGGGGATGAACACTCTTCCTCTCCTGTCCATTAAGTTGTTTGTGGACATCTGCCCCTAGACGACTGCAACCTAACATCTAAACCCCTGAACACTAACACTCCACCTCCACCACATCCTTCTCTGAGGCACCATTTCTGCCACTCCTCCATCTGCCAACATCAACCAATGTCACTCTTCTCCCTCTCTCACACTCTTCTCCTTCCCTCACCCTTCACAGCCATCACCTGCCCCTCTCCACTTCCTGCTCCCAATGCCATCACCCTGGTTCTCCTTTCCAGTGTGCATAGGGCCCTGGAGAGCATCAACTGAAGGATTGTAAGAATTAATTACCATTTGCCTCAACCATTCACTCATTCAACAGTTATTTATTGAGCAGCTAGGAGAAAAAAGACAAACTTTGCCCTACCCCCCAAACTTAATCCCAGAAAAAAAAAAAAAACTTAAAACCAAACATTTCAGAGCGCCCTGGAAAAGGTAAGGCTGAATAGTGACAGGTAGTGCTTAACTGGGGGTGCTGTTTTACACTGGGTTATCTGTAAGGCCCCTCCTCCCCAAAGAGGCTGGCATGACTATGGTGGGCTAATGTCAACCAACAGGGCCAGATGGAATATAACTTCCAAGAAGGTATGCCCTTGTAGAAGGCCGGCTGGCTGCAAAATAACCGGGGGGTGATGAATAACTTGTGTACGTTGATACAGCAGGAGTGGGAGCCGTTTATTGCAGGACAGGAGCAGTATTTATACATTCCACACAGCTTATCTAATTAGCATAAACTAGATACATCAGTCAACCAATAAGGAATCTCCACACTTAATGGCTCGCTTTTGTTACTTCTCAAACCACTCCCTCTGGCATTTTGCCAGGCACCATCCAGACTTGTTTACGAACTCTAACATTCCCCTGGCTAAATGCCAGGTGTTATTTTGACTTGTTTACAGACTCTAACATGCCCTCAGTTTTGGTTAATAAAGACCCAGGGACTTTGTTTCTTTGTACTTGGAAATACTTGCTGCTTCCAGGGATGGGGCTAAGTGGTAGAGTGACAGTACTGATCAGTCTTTTTGCTGACCAATCTTTTCTTAAAATTTGAACTGTATGTCATTTCCCCTTACAAAGGGAAAAACTGAAATCAGAAAGAATTAATCATTTCCATGCAACTACCTCCCTTGAGGGGCCCATTTTCTCATCTGCCACTTCTGTGGGAACACTGCCCAAACAGAGCCTTTAGCCTGAACCTTAAGGACTGCTATTCAAGTATCTGTGAGCACCGGCCATGTGCTGGTGTTCAAGTGTGGGTAGACCAAAGACCTACAGCCACTACAGTGAGATGGCTTCTCTCAGGAGGTGGAAAACGGTATTTGCTAAGAACCAATATGCTCCTCTGGGTCTCTCCCATATTTCCACAGCTCTCTACCTTGGTTATTGCTAAACCTGGACTAGGCCCACTCCTCTCTTTATTTTCATGTACCACTCACTGCTGCATCTTATCTGAAAGCCATGAACATATTGCCATACTGAGGAAATCCCCACTGAACACTGGGCAACGGATTAAGATTTAGCCAGCAAACTGGTTTTAGCCACATTCCTGTGCCTACTCCCTGCCCCCACCAGTTAAGCCAGGGCTAGAGAGAACTTCCCTGGGCTGGCTCTGTGGGGTGGAGGTGGTATACAGGGAGGATTGGCTCTGCAAATGGCAAAGGCCTGAATAAACAGGAACTTTCCAGAACTCAAGACATCTTGGGTGTGGCACTCACAGGGCCAAGGCCAGACCCAGAAGATGGGCTGTTCTGGGCATGGCCCAGCCAGCATGTGGCCAGCCAAGGATGAAATGGCCCAGCCAAGGGTAGGAAATAGGATACAGTAATTTAAATACTCCACATTATCACAATCACTGATTTCTCCACAGCTCCAGTTGTACTCTCAGATAATCATAGGCAGCTAAGAAGGCAAGGCCTCATTTCCCTCTATCTTCAGAGCCTAGAACTAAGTTCAATAGGCAACTAGAAACTGCATGATGGAAGAATTTCAGATTTTAATTAGTGTCAGTGAGCATTAAAAGTCCAATATTATAAACCAACCATCAAGGGCCAAGGCATCTTAAAGTAAATCCAAACCTAGATTTTTTTTTTTTTTTTTTGTAAAATTGGATTAAACCCAGGAAATGTCTTTTACTGAGGTACATGCCCAGTCCTTTAAAAAAAAAAAAATTTTTTTTTTCCACATTTGTTTTATTGTAAGAACTAAGTTGCTCAGGCTGGCCTCAAGCTTGTGATTTTCCTGCCTCAGCCTCCAGTGTAGCTAAGGTTATAATAGTAGGTACGCACTACCGTACCCAACTTAGCCCCTACTTTTATAACTGACATCTTTTAGCAGCAAAATTTATTCCTTTCTATAAAAAAAAAAGCCAAGGAAGATTTTCTCTTTAACTACGAAAAAAGGAAAAAAAAGATATTTATGGCTTTGCTGATAGCAGGAAAAAAAGCTAGTTGGATTTAAAGGCAACCTCAAGTAGTTAATGAACAGTAGTATTGTGACTGGTCCAGATGAATTGATTTTTTTCCAAGCAAAAAATCAGTTTTATGCATTTTAAGAGGTGGTATGAGGGAGGTTGCCCGGATGCTTACTTTTATAATCCACATGGCTAGTCAATGATTTTTGGGAACCACTGTTTCTGGTAGGCAAAACATTTGAAACCAAGACTATCCCAGGAAATTCGGTTCACGTGACTGTCTTGCAGTAATGCATTCAGCCACCTAATAAATGAACTCAAGAATTGTGACTTTTTTCTAGCTTTGTGACCCTCAACACAACACTTAACACTCTGGGCTTACACAGTTAAACTGAGGGAGACAGAGACCCTTTCAGCTCTTAGTTTATGATGTGGTCACTGGCTACCTTAGAAAACCAAGCCTGTTTTTATCAGTTTGTGAGAAGGTAATTAATCCCTTTGAGACTGAGCTTCCTTATCTATAAAGATGATAAAATTGGGAGAAGCCACTTTCAGCAATGAGGGGGGAAAAAGGACTTCCATAGTCAGGCAGGCAGATGGTGTCAAACCTTAGCCCCCTGTAATTTTAAAGCAGGTTACTGGACCTGAGTCTACTTTCTTCATCTGCGAAATGGGGATAAGAAAGTCTGTCGTAAGAACTGTTTAAGAATCTTGTTTATTCTACCTTATGGTAGGTACAGAGTAAATATCAGTTACCTTTGTTTTTTTGTACCAGGGACTGAACTTAGGGGCACTCTGCCACTGAGCCACATCCCTAGCCCTATTTTTTGTATTCTTTTTTAGAGACAGGGTCTCACTGAGTTGCTTAGTGCCTTGCTGTTGCTGAGGCTGGCTTTGAACTTATGATCCTCCTGCCTAAGCTTCCAGAGCTGCCAGGATTACAGGCATATGCCATGATGCCCAGCATCAGTTGCCTTATTTTATTCCTATTTCACAGTTGGCAAACATGAAAGGGATATCAATGTGTTGAAATGTCTAAAAAAAAAAAAAAATTCAAACCCCTTAGGGGAGTGGTGTGAGGGGTTTGTCATCAGATTGATTCTTTCCCTTTTCCCACAAGAGGCCTACCTTCTGGTCAACTGCCTATCACTGAGGTTACCACAGTGGTGCTGAAGGAGTGAGGACAGGAGGCTGCCAGGAACAATGGGCACAAACCATGGGAAGTACTGTTCAAAAAAAGAAAAATGATATGGCCCTGACACAGAGTCCTGCTAGGCACCATCTCAGGCCTGCTCTGCAACAGCTTCAGGAGGCCTGAGGAACCAGTTTGGGTCGCCAGGCTGGGAGACTTCCATCAAAGTGCAGTTAGCTCCCTAATCTCAAGGCAGCTCTCATCATTCCTGAGACCTGGCCAGCAGGACAGTGTGGTGGGCCAATGTGGAGTTAGAGGTCCTACTATGAGCAGCGGTTTTAAATTCAAATTATTCACAGGAAGAAAGACTCTTTGCATGTAAACATTTACAGGTCTCCAAAGCCCTGGGAGACTGTCACCTGAGGGAACTGGAAGTGTCCAAAGTCAAGCTCAGGGAGGGAGAAGATGCAGCACTGCTCCAGTCTTCACCAGTGTGTTCCTGGTCTGGACCCTGCAAGGGGCCCCAGATCGCATGTTCTAGAGGCTGGCACTGGTGGCATTGGGTCTCCTACTGATGGGGGGACTCATTATCACAACACAGCTACTGCTCTTAGGAAGGGAATGTGTTTTAAACTTGGGAAGAGTCATAATCCTGGGAAATTCCACACATTGGCAGCTTTAACCTCTAACAGTCACAGAACCTCTTCTCTGGGAGGAGGATCTCTCTGTGGTGTGAGGTACCTCCTCTACCAGCAGAAGTATGGTGAAATGAGCCAGGCTTATGATTTAGATTGTATCCTGCATATAAACACCTATGAGAACAGAACTGAAGCCACAGGGGATGTATTTAACAGGAGGTGATGACCAGACAGCTTGGTTATACAAAAGGATTCTGGGTGTAACCCTAGGAGAGCCTGTGGTTCTTATATACCCTACCCTTACTTGCCACTTGCCACATCCCAAGGTCTGAAGGGCTGGTCCTCTTCCCTATGTGGCTTGCCACAAGTAAATGCCAGAGGACCTCAGAAACCTGTGGTACTGAAGAAGAAAATTTTAGTCAGAGAAAGTACTCAGCCCTAGTGATGGGGTTCTGGGCCACAGGTGGGCTTGATCCACACAGTCCTCAGTCCCTGGGAGCAGCTGTGTGCAGGAGGTAAATGTGCAAGTGGCCTGGCCACACTGACTGCCCACTCACATCACCAGTGCCATGTATACAGTGGCATGACTGTATGTGCGAGAACTAATCGCACCACACAGTGGTATCTGAATCCCTTCCCCATTCCAGGCCAGATGGTCTTCCCAGTCAGAAAGGTTCAAGGTCCTGAGGCTTGACTCTTCTAAGGCTCAAAATGGATTGTTTCCAGACTTGACTGTCTTTGTCTGTCTTAAGGTCTCCAACCCTCCACCCTCAGACAAACTGCGACAGATTGGGGACTTTGATGTTGATATCGCCAATGTTGATGTTCCGTGGGATCTCAGGCAGATTCATGTTCTTCACAGCAGACACGGCCCGCGCGGGTGCTGCTGAAAGGCCACCCTGAGGAAAAATGAGAGGTGAATGTGAGACCATTCTCAGTGACATCTGCTTAATGCTTTCAAAATAAAACAAAATACAGATGAAGGAGACCTAGAAAAATTCCAAACCGAGCAAACAACAGAATTTTAAAATTTTCATCCTTATTCCTCAAAGGCAGCCAACAAAACAATCGTTAAGGTAGCTGGGGCTTGGTATAGGGGACCCAAAGCCTGCGCTCATATCAGACTGCAAGCTCCTCCAAGATAGGGCTGTGTCTTATGCAGTTCCAGAGCCTCAGAATCTAACAGCATTTGGTCCGTGGTGGGTGTTAATAGATATTGGCTGAGATAACTTGAAGTGGTATATCCAAGCTGTAAAGAGCATTGAGAATAGTGCTTTTCTGGTTACAAAACGAAATCCTTTCCTCAAGAGACAATCTTATAGATAAAGGCAAAGCCACAGGTTCATTCAAAAATGGAATGTCACAGCTTTAGGGCAATTGCTTGCCAACTAAGAATGTAATATGGAAAAGGGCTGGCTTTGGAAATGTCATGTGGCAATAAGTTGGGACACATGGACGTGCAGGAGGTGGAGTGTAGCAGACACAGAAGACTGGTAACAAACAAAAATAGCAGAGACATCTGTGACAGGCCTACAGGCTCACTCCCAGTGTGGGAAGGGGAAGAGCTAACTTAGGCTCTCTAAATTATTTCCCCTATTAACTACTTTCAGGATACTGACTCCAATTCCACCCTCACCCAGCAAATCTCTGTTTCTTCTGGTTTCCAAACCCCTTGCCTCTGACTCACTCACTATTTCTGGAAGTTTCCCAGACTGCCTTTCTCAAAGAACTAAAGCTGCCACAAGAGCTGCGGTCTGGAAAAGCTTCCTCAGCAGGACTGCCAATCCTCACGTAGAGAATTCCTTGTTTCGCAAGATCAGGTTCCATCATACAAAGCAAAGAAACTCTTTTTTAAGACACTCAGATAATTTAAGAGGTAATTTGTTCTGCTATTTCTGCATAGGTGACGGCTTGTCTTTGGTAAGACTGAGGAAGGGGACAGAAAGATGTCAAGGGGATAGAACTAACTTCACTGAGAACTTCTTATCAAACCCAGCCCCATGAGGATGGATTGGGAATGATATTTTCAAATGTGTCCCCAACTCTGCTGTGGCCCTGTAACAGGCTAGCTGGAAATGAGGACATTGGAAACTCTGAAGATATTGGCTGTGAAAAACATCAACCTGCCTGAGATCCCACGGAACATCAACATTGGCGATATCAACATCAAAGTCCCCAACCTGTCCCAGTTTGTCCCAGCATATCCACGTGTCCCAGTTTATTGCCACATGACATTTCCATGATAAATGGCTGCTGGGAGATTAGAGTCATATAGCACATAAACCACAATGTACTGAGAATGGGATTCTGGATCTCTCCAGGGAGCATGTGGCTTTAAGAGAAGAATTACAAACCACAAACAGGCCATCACCCCCCAAGCCAGAAGCTGTGTGCCTTCCTCTGCTATCTGTCTTTTCCATTCACACTTCCATCCTGAAAGTCTAAGACTTCAACTCTCCTGACTTGCTGAATTTTCAGGACCAACCTCCAAGTCAATAAGTTTTGATGGATACAAAGGAATGAGAAGATGAGGATAAACCATTTCCTAAGGTTCCACAGCAACACAAATTGGCACTTGCACACATTCCTTTCTCTGCCCAGGCAAGCACACAGCTCACCTCTGATTTCTCCAGCCTGTTTTGAGTTTCAATCTGAGCCACAATTTCATTCATGTTTGTTTCCAACACCATCCCACCCATCACCACCTCCTGGAGGATATAATGCACCTAGAAGGGAAGAAAAATCAGAAGGTCAGCACATACTCCAGTGATCAGGGCACAGCCCATGAGGTTTCCTTGTCCTGCAGCAGCAGAGTGGTCAAGTGGGGCACCTGGTCCTGATTCACAACTCAAGACTCCTAAGCCCTCTCTCCAGGGAGACCACAGGGGTCTCTTCCCAACACGGCATATCACACAGCATAAATAACTTCCAGCAGCAGCGGCAGCAAAGGTGCCTGGCTACGTTCAAGACAGTGAGATGGAAGCTGACACTTTGGAGTCAGATACATCTTGTTTAACCTCCAGCTTGCTATTTCTTAGCCAGGTGCCTTGGGCAAATTATTCTTTCAGAGCTTCAGCTTCCCTCCAGGGCTATACTGGAGGCTGGATGAAATAACTAGTGAATGAAGCATCTTGACTGATGCCTGGCACACACCAGATTCTATGGCAGTTTTCACTACTAATATCATCTTCATCAACACCAACTGCAGTCATCAGGTCCAGCTATGGTGGATCAGTCACTATCTGAACAGCTGAAATGGAATATCTCCCAAGTGCCTTAAGAAGGATCCTCCAGCCTGCACTCGATTGGAAGGAAGTGATCAGAGGCAAACTACAGCCCATTCCTGAATTACCATCCTCACCCAGTGTCTTATAACTGAAATAAGAAGTAGGTTCTACATACTTTTCTAATTATACATTCATTTGTGCTCAGGTTCCACCCAGCTAGTTGTTCTCTAAACAAAGCTTAATCCCAAGGTACTCAAACTGCTGTGATGGAACAGAGCTGTCTCAGTCATTGTAGCCCAGGGTGTCAGGAAAGCTACCATGAAAAACCCTGTGTGGGCTAAGTCAGAGGTGCCCACTGGGTAGCAGTTCATATTTCAAATCAAATCATATTAACATAGCCTTTACTTTACTTTCTGTCACGTTGGAAAGAAACAAGCACCACCTTCTATTGTCAGCTAAGTGCCAAATTATTAGAGTAGTCCATAGGAGGCAAGAGAAGGAAAAAAACAATGGCTGGAGAGAGCACCGAGCTTCAGAGACAGTGTGAGAAGCACAGGTGGCTCTTATATCAGAGAAGTAGAAAGAGAATTTCAGGTGAAAGGTCCTGAAGAAGTACTTCAGATGGTCTATGGACAGGTGTGGGAGCTGCTGGATCTGGCTGGGAGGGCAGTTTCAGTAACAGAGAGGGTGAAATCAAGGCTGAGAAGGTAGTTTCCATCTCCAGCCTGGGCACTAATGACATTTTGGGATCCATTATTATCTGCTGAGCTGTCCTGTGCACTATAGCATATTCCTGATGTCTGCCCAGTAGATGCCAATAGCACCCTCCGGCTATAACAACCTAATGTCTCCAAACATTGCCAATTGTCTCCCAGGGGGCACATTCACCCCAGCTGAGTACCAAAGGTCTAGTCTTGAGTTAAGTGCCAAGTTACTTTCTAGGCAATGTTACACAAGACTGGTTTTGAAACTATTTCCTAGGGAATTATACTGTTTGCACTTCCCCATCAAAAAGTAGCCTTTGGATGTATGAACTGCATGGCGGTTCCACAGAAAATGAAAAATAAAATTACCGTATGACTCGGTAAAAGAACTGAATGCATACACCCAAAAGAACTGAAAGCAGGAACTCAAAGAGATATTGGACATCTATGTTCACAGCAGCAACATTTGACAGTAAGAATGTATAAACAAAATGTGATGTATCCATGCAATGGAATATTACTCACCCTTTAAAAGCAAAAAAATTCTGGCACATGCTACACATGGGTGAATGTTGATGTAACTATGCTAAGTGAAATAAGCCAAGACACAAAAGACAAACACTGTAGGATAGGGACTTAGAGTGATCGGATTCGTATAACAAAAAGTAGAATGGAGGCCATCAGTATCTGGAGGGAGATAAATGGTTATTGTTTTTTAAGGTGTACAGAGATTTGGTTTTGCAAGATAAAGCTCTCTAGAAATACATGGTGGAGATGGCTGCACAACAACATGAATGTGCTTAATGCTACTGATTTTCGAAAGTAAAAATGGTAAAGACAGTACACTTTATGTATATTTAATTATAATTTTAAAAAGAAACAGGCTTCTATCCTAGTACTTCTAATATTTATTATTTTTTACTTAACCAACCCCTTTTTCACGAGTAGAAAATGGTACCTGTTGTCGACCATGTGCTAAGTACTTAGTGTTATTTATATTAATTTTACGATGTTCATCTAAGGTAGGTAAAGTAATCTTCATTTTATATATAAGGAATTCAATAAAACTATTCCTATGGCAGGACTGAATGCTGAATCTAGGTCTGCCTTCCTCAAAAGCTCACATTCTGCCCTTTAGATGGCACGTCCTCAGAATCCCAAACTGTCTTCTATTCTATTCATTCCTGACCTCTAGTCCATAGAGAATCATTTTAAATATGCCTCTAATATGTCAAAGATCTTGTATGATTCTCCACAAGGCCTAGAACAATGCCCAATGCAGAACAGGTGTGCTGAATGAATGAAAGCTTTCCATATGTCAGAGTGGCATATTTCTTCAACTTTAGGGGCTTAGATACCTATGACAGTGTGGTGGTGAAGGCTTTATGGAGAAAATGTAGTAAAAGATCCAATATATGATGTCACGGGGACTAGCAGTGGGTTAGAAGAAAAAAATCAGTTAAAGATTTCTAATTGATAATCAGGCACGTTGGCGCAAGCCTGCAATCCCAGTGGCTCGGGAGGCTGAGGCAGGAGGATAGCCAGCTCCAAGCCAGCCTCAGCAAAAGCGAGGTGCTAAGCAACTCTGTGAGACCCTGTCTCTAAATAAAATACAAAATAGGGCTGGGGATGTGGCTCAGTAGTTGAGTTCCCCTGAGTTCAATCCTGGTACCCATCGCCCACCAAAAAAGTGATTCAAATGTGTTCTAAATGCAAAAAAGAAATTAAAATGCAAACTTCATTTTTCCAACAAAACTAAAAGATAATACAAATTCCAAACCCCAAACAAGTGGAAAAGGTGTCAGAAGTAGGGAACTCAGGCCAGGCCTCTTTTGCTTCATAGAAGGAAAGGAAGAAAGGATGCTATAAAGAGAGGATGTGGGAGCTGAAGATGTCAGAAAGGCCTAGAAAAATACTTTCTGTAGGTAAAGCACATGTCCTGTGTTACCAAATTCCTTGTTTGTGGAGGGCAGGAACTTCCCTGGAACAGAGTTGGAGCTATATGAGAAACCATATAAATAAGCTTTATTTGCCCCACAGAGCTGGTCTCTATGGCAGCAGAGAAGAAAGTCTTTGTATTGTGAAAATTATTTAGTGTATCTTCATTGGCTGAATAGAAATTTAGGGTAAGTCAACTCACACAAAACCCTAATCACAGGAATACTGCAGCCAGCCTGAAACAGTCTTGGTATTTCCCTCAAGCAAGAATCAGGAATCCTAGAAATAGCTGGTCCCTGAAAAACTAATTTATTTAAAGATGTTATAAAAGAGAAATATGCACAGGATCTATATACATATACAAAAACAAAGAAAGAAAAATAAATAGAAAAAACAAATGGTAGACACTGGAAAAATACTAACATGGAGCAGTTAAAATTTTAATGAAGTATTCTGCAAAATTAAAAAGACAATACATAATGAATGAAACAGCTATCTCTGTGAAGCAAGGGCTCAAAGCAGACATGCAAGAGCTTAGGGCAGAGGTAGAGAGAAAAGAAGAGAAGATATAGACTAGCACAGCTCAAGGAAGAAGCTGAAGGAAAAACCACTACTACAGAATTGAAGGTGAAACTGGAAAGAGCAAAAGGGAGAAAAGACACTGCTAAAAAACACAATAAGGGGGCTGAGACCATAGCTCAGTGGTAGAGCACTTGCATGTGTGAGTACTGGGTTCGATCCTCAGCACCACATAAAAAAAATAAATAAATAAAGATATTGTACTAACTACAACTAAAAAAATTAAAAAACAAACAAACAACACAATAAGGATCAAAAAGAGAAGAGCGGAAAAAAGGTTATGAAACAGAAGAATTAAAAGAAATAAGGAGGGGCTGGGGTGGTGGCTCAATGGTAAGAGTGCTTGCCTAGCAAGTGTGAAACGCTGGGCTCAATTCCCAGTACCATATATAAATAAATAAAAATAAAGTTCTATCAGCAACTAAAAAAAATAAAAATAAAAAAAAGGAATAAGGAGAAATGAAGTTAGAGAAGACAGCAAAGGAAATGCAGCATATGCATGAAGGAAATGAACACCAAAAGGAAAATACATGTAAAGATTTGTTCATAAAGATCACAAAAAGACAGAGTTCATTATGTTTCTCAACTGCAAGAGGTCTGGAATCTACATACCACAAGGGCACAGGTATGCCAGGGAAAACACCCAAATAGCCAGTGCCAAAACATATCTTTTAGGTAAGGTTTCTAGATTTCTGCAATCAGGCAAAATCAAATCACTTGAAAGAGAAACAAGATCTTGAAAATTTCCACATTAATATTTAACGTTAGTGGAAAAAGGACAATTGCTCACAAAACTCTCAAGAAGATGGGCACAGTGGTGCATGCCTATAATCACAGTGGCTAGGAGACTGAGGCAGGAGGATCACAAGTTCAAAGCCAACCTCAGAAACTTAGCAAGGCCCCCAGCAACTTAATGAGACCCTAAGTCAAAATAAAATATGAAAAGGGATATGGGGTTTTGGTTCAGTGGTTAAGTGCCCCTGGGTTCAATCTGGTACAAAAAAAAAATCTCAAGAAGATGATGTGTGACTCAAGGATTTTATACCAGTTGAGTACCAATAAAAGTAACAGGATGGGAAATACTGTGCTGAGTCTTTCTTTCTTGAGCAATCTACAGAAAGAAATACTTGTGACAATCTACCCAAAGATGACTGAAAAAAATCATGGCACCAAGAAAAGACTGGCAGTGAGCGCTAAAGCTATTTAATGAGAAGACTAAGAATAACATAGGATCAGGGCAACAGAACAATGTCAATGTCCATGACTTGCCTTGCGAAT